TTGCGAAAGACGTTCATTTACATCCAACTGGAGGAACTGCCTTGTTCTGAGGAGTTCTTTGAAATTTGTTCATTTATTTACTTAATTCCAAATTGTACAATTTTATGACTGAAAACAAAACCTTTTACAGCGTCTGTCTGTGCTATTCTCACTAATGAGATTTTCTTGAACACGCAAACATTATGTACAGATTTCAAACTGTAACCAGCGCAGTGTAGCGCTCCTTCAGAATATCAATATAATCTGAAATATACCTTTGCTCCACAGATTAGGTGCCGAAGATGATCAACATGTATTGATAACATGAGTCAATAGATGCCAATGTAGTTCACAAAATAAATTACCTGTTTCTGCTAATAGAACTCAGCAAACTTTTGAAATAAATTATTACAATTTTCTGACTACAATAATGAAACGTTGACCTTTGCTTCCAATTTTCATTAGCTGTAATCATCTAAATTAATAGAAACAATAAATAAGTTTCGCTTCAATGAAGTTACTGTAATTAACTTCTGTTTGCTGTCCAGAATATTTGACGGCGGTTGAAGCCAGTAAAGATTGAATAAGAAGCACTATCCGTTACTTAAAGAGGCAGTATCATGTAAAAGCAACTTTTTTGAGCTTTAAATCATGTTGTAGTTTTATCCAAATATCAAAAATATACCTGGAGTGTTGCCATGATTCATCCAAGCGTGTCCAAGAAATCCTTTGATCTCCCATGTGCAGAACCAAAGTCCTTCAGACTAGCCAGCAGCAATTAGCAAACTCCTGGTGGAACTGCTCATCTCTTGAGCTCATTCTACCAGCTACTTCTCAGAGCAAAGCTGGTAACATTGTGACAGAGGAGCCATGTTGTGCTGGCTTCCTGCAGGCAGACTTTCAGAAAAAGCTGGATGATTTACTAAGCCCAATTTTCCTCTAAGACATATTTGATATAAAAAAGATTTTTATAAGAACTGAAGGTAACATAGTTAGTTAACTGTGCTATAAAATGGCACCAGGTACATAAAAAAATATGTAATCCTGCCCCTTTAAAGATATGAGACAAAAAAAGACATGAAATGACTCAGTTAAATTAGTCA